TGAAAATGGACCTTTAGTCCCGGTTTGAGACACAAACTGGGACTAAAGGGCATCGCATCCTTTAGTCCCGGTTCGTGTCTCAAACCGGGACTAAAGGTCTAATCTTTAGTCCTGGTTTGAGACACAAACCGGGACTAAAGGGCATCGCACCCTTTAGTCTCGGTTCGTGTCTCAAACCGGGACTAAAGGGCTCAGGTGAACCGGGACTAAAGCCTTAGCCGCACGAACCGGGACCAATGCTCACATTAGTCCCGGTTCGTGACTGAACTGGGACTAATGTGAATATTGCCCCGTGACCAAAGTCCTGTTTTCTACTAGTGTCTTAGTCTCACAAATCCGAGCGTATCCCTCTTAATCTAGTACTGCTGCTCGAGCGCTTTCAGTGGACACGGAGACAACAAAGACAATCCATTGACTAGACGGCACGCATACTTCAAGCAATGGTCTCCAGTGGTAAAGTGAAGCCTAAGAAAAGGGGAATTTAATTGCTCTCCCTAAGCACCGGAGTACTAGCAATTTCATAGTGAGTGAGGTGAACCAAAATGCACTGGTGTGCATTCCAACTTGCAAGCAAGTTATGGTATCGGCATGCGGAATTATTTACGGGTCGGCGTAAATCCAAAGGCTCTGGGTCTAGTCCACAACAACCAGAACTAGGCACTCGTTACAAGGGCACACTTGGAGAATTATATCAGCCATAGTGTGGACCAAGGTGCAGTGGTGTTAGGGTAGCTAGCTATTAGAATGTCAGAAAATCCAACAGTATTTTGAGCTAGATCTTCATGTAAGGCAGTCGAAAGACATGTGCGCTCTCCGTGGAACTTCATGTTTTGCTAAAATATTTTAGAATCCTCACATGATGCTTGACACATACTACTCGCTCCTACACCAACCCTTTCTAACGGAAAATCACTACGGAAACCAGGCATTGCATCGTCCACAAAAGCGATGTTTGACCGACTGGCAGCAGGCGACAAGACAACGTACGTCGAAACGGCTATTTGTAAAACATACTTTAGGGTGTCTTTTTCCCACGTAAACAGATTCACGCCCTGCAGATTCTCCCACAAGAGCGCTTTTACTCCATAAATTAAGGCATGCAGACCCCTTTTAGCTAAGAGAGGGGGAAAAAAGATGATTGGCAAAGTGGGTCATTAGTCAAATGCAGCACTGTAAAAAGGTGTTTCATTTGGCAGTACCGTGTGGAGCCTTTCCCTTGGTTTTAGAAAGAGCTTGTTTGGTTGCCGCTTTTGTCATGTCTCACATTGGAAGTTATGTCGGGCCACGCATGTCATACAAGCTGTACCCCAGCAAAGAACTGATGATCAAACCTGAGGAGATTGAAAAAATATATATGGACTATGATATTACCTCAATATGCCGAAACAAATTGCTTATATTTCCGTCCAGTGGCCTTTCATGGATGCTTTACAGGATTGAATGAGTGCACATGAACAAACCAAGTATGAAAGCTTGTTTTGAAATGGAACAGAAATTTATCGTACATAATGAAATGGAACAGAAAACTTTAAGCAATTGCATGTAAGATGGAAGACCAGGGACAATGGACGTAAACAAAACAATCTATTACAGCAGGAACAAGCAGAGAAGACAAAATCAGTGCATTTGTAAACCATCTGAAACCTTATAATGAGATCCATCGATATGTTTATTTTGCCTTTCCGCGCTGGGACCAGCAACTGATTGATAGATACACAGTTTGTAAATGGGCCTTAATCATGGACCAGCGCGTGCCTTGTGATGACAAAGAATATATTGTAGATTAAGCAGCCAATAATCTATGCAGTCGGATTCGGTAGAAGAATCTAAGGCAAGGCGTGATGCTGCTTGATATTTGTTAATAAACTGTGCAGTGTGCCATATGCCTACATAATGAAAATGGTCGCTACAGAACCGAAAATTAGTTGGTCAAAGATGTT